TCTGCATAAAAGTCTCAGAAAATATCCTTGAAAACGAATCTATTATATGAAAGAAATTGAACAAGATTATAAAAGAGTTGGTTTGTAGAAAGTCAAAACAATTCACTTAAACGTATTGAAAACCTATTGACTTGTATTTTCACGTTTTATTGCACTTTCTTCGCATAGAAGCATTGGCTAAATGAAATGTAATGGATTGTAATTGAAGGTTGAATTTAGGGGTATTAAGGTGTACCGCAGCCAGTGAATGTCATTCCTCTGCATTGTGTTAGTTTGTGTTCTGATGTGGGTCACTGGCGTGGAGCTGAGCTGGAATGTGCCTCTCAGTCAGATGTAGGTCAGTGTGCAGCTCTGCTATAATGGCTCCTGTTGTGTCATACGTGAGAATGATAGCAGCATTTCCCACACTCAGCTGCCTCAGTGTAGAGCCGAGCGCAGTGCTAACAATACCCAGGGTGATGGGTGTGATTCCCACTGTGGACCAACGCTCAGCATCTCTGCTCTGTGAAGTAAGGTTGTCTTCACGCTGCATCTCAAAGTGTCACAACTCTGATTATCCCCCTCTCATATGAGACACGCAGCACCTCTGATGTGTTTCAAAGAGTGAAACAGAGTTGATTCTTATCCATTTCAGTTCAGCTGATGTGTTTTTAAAAGTCGTTGTGCAACAATGGAGATAGCTCAGAGGAATAAGATATATTTTCATCCCTTAGTGGTTTTATGGAAAAAGTAGAATCATCCCTATTGAGGCAAGGGGCCATTTAATTGGTTAATCGCAGGTACGTTAAAGAAAAAATGCAAACATTTCTGAAATTTAAGATAAAGATTCTTAATAATTTAGTGCGAGTAATAACACCTCAGGAGGATGTTTGTGTGATTTACTTTAGTGACTCTTTGATAGAAACACAAATATTGAGTTTTCATAATAATTCTTGACATTAAGAAGAATGTAGAATAACCCCTGTTGTAGTTCCAGTAATCCAAAATTCGATTCGCAGGTAGCAAATAAGCTTGACTCGGACAAGATACGTCTCAGGATAGTTTCTTTGACTCTTTACTTAAACAAAAGGTATCAAATACAAACACATATTTTCTCAGGTCAAAAAACAATGTTGCTCTGTGCTTCTTTCTCCTTCTCACACACACACAATCACCAGCAGCTGCCGTCGGCTATAACGTCTAGTAATCACAAACAGCTGCCGTCGTCTATGCCGTCAATTCCACACGGCTGGTTCAAATAAATGATATAATAGCACTAACAACAAAGGATTATAATATTCAAATATATCAAGCTATACATTCTCCTACAGGCTCCTACACCTGTCAATGTAGAGACTGTGCAGTAAATCTGAGAAAAAGTGCACACATTGCTGAAAAGTAGGGGGATTAATCCATGGAAACATTAAAAAAATATTTGGTGCTAGAGAACTCAAGAAAATGTTTGCACAATATTGGGATCATGTGTACAATGTTTATGTTGTACGGTACTCCTTAAATTAGGTTTGTACAAAAGTAGAACAGGTTTCTTGATCTCTGACCAGCAAATCTCCAGTGACACCTTCTTAAACATGATACTTTTCTCTCTGCAGAGTGGGAAAGCTGAAGGAGACGCTGGTGACGGTGCAGCAGCTGGATAAGAACATGAGCAATCTACGGACATGGCTGTCTCGCATCGAGGCGGAGCTCACCAAACCCGTGGTGTACGACGTGTGCCACAGCGAAGAGATCCAGAGGAAACTGGCTGAGCAGCAGGTGGGAGCAATGATCCTTGTTGAAATAAGCAGCATATAACTCCATCCTGGAAGTCGAATTTAAAGGTCTCCTATCATGCAAAATGCACTTTTCGATGTCTTTTATACATAAATGTGTGTCAGGGAACTCACAAAGTGTCAGAAAACAAAACCCTCTCTCTTTTCCTCCGTACCCAAATCTCTAAAAACGGGGCTACAACGGAGCTGATCCAGATTTGCGTCCCATATGACGTACTATCGGAAATGTGGACCCAAGGCACTATCAGAAACGTTGCTATCAGAAACAATGCCTGATGTGTTTTGGACGTAATATGGTCTGTGTTTACATTAGCATCGCTAACACTCAGAGCTAACCTGCACTGGAAAGAGTGTAAAAAAGCAGGAAATTAAAAAAAGGAACTCACCTTGTGGTAAACCCGCAAGAGAAAAAGCATTTGAGCTCCATACTGTTTCAGAAATAATCCTTAATGTGGTTTTGAACATGATATGGCGTTTAAGCCTTGAGCTGTATCTGGGTAGAATTCTCCTGATCAGATTCTCAGCATATGCTTTTTTTTTCAAGCTAAGGACCCCGAACCTGCAGTTCTCTAACAGGGCTGAAATAGAGGGATATGAGGGATGTGTAAAATGCATGATCTGTTAGGTATTTTGAGCAAAACACATCATAGACATGTTTTTTATATATTTGTATATATCTGAGACCCATAATATATGCCTAAAAATAGCATGCTAGTAGATCTTTAAGTTTGAATCATCTTTGGTCAATGAAAAAGTGAGGCTTTCTTCAGTTTAGCATCTAAATCATGAAGGCCAAAGCTGGAGCTGTGTTCATGCTTCTAGAGCCGCTCACCAAACCACACACGCCAAAAGCGGAAAGCTCAAGGAATCAAGGTCAAATAATGTAATCATGGTTCTACTGTACGTGGAAGAACAACTAAACTTTTCACCAAAAGAAGCTTCCAAATTGTTTTCCGAAGCGGGGGAAAATATGGACTTTGCACCTCTAAAGAGTTTGGACATCTTTCAGGTAAAAATGAAAAAAGCTTTATAATGGCTCCACTTTGAAGGAAGACACAGTGGGTGCACTTTGAGGGGTTTTAAAGACAGGAAGTACTTTACTCACTCTACTGATGCACGCATGCTTCTAAACCCTTTGTGTTATGGCCATCCTGTAGTGGTTTACAGCGTAATCACAGAAAAGTAGCAAAGGTGTGCTTCAAAGTAACATCTCAGCGAGCTGCAGGGTGACGGATATTTGTGAAGAGAAGCTGACACACTGAGACGGTAAATGCTCTGAGAGCCCGATCTCAGCCAGCGGCCTGCAGAAACGACATATAATTGAGTGTGTCACTCCTGTTGCAGCCTGCTGTACTCCTGCTTTACTGAAAGGAGAATTATTAATGGTTGGAGAGGAAAAAGGAAGGATGAGATCCACAGAGATAGATCCATACAGGAAGAGAGAGGAGGCGTTCTACTTCACTGCCTTCACTTAGCACCTGAAAGTGTGTGTTTGGTGGACAATAAACTCCTGTTAATTAAATAGCATTAACGTTGGGTTCTACACACAAAAAGCTAATTTTCCCCACAAAAACTCATCTTGTCTCACCTGTTGCTTCTCTCCCTCACTGCACTCCTTACTGTGATCCAGACACTGGTTTATTTAACTCTCAAACCCCACAGAAACTCAACATTTTCTAAACTTTTAAACTGCTCAGCTCTGTCAAAAACATGTCAGGCAGGGTCTTTAAAGCCATTTCCCGGTTTGTAAAAAGCTACTGACGTTTATAAAATGGCCAATTCTGCCAAGATCCTGCTAGTGCTGCCAAAACCTTCAGGTTGGATTAGTTTGCTTTTATTTTTTCTTCTAGTTTTATGATGGAGTTTGTGGTTAAAGCGCAGATATTTGCAAGGAGGTGAGTGACAGAAGAACATTTAAATGTTTAATTTGGACAGGGCTATATCTGAGGAAAGAGTAGCTGTCTGAAGAAAGAACGAGAGGTAAAGCATAAGAAAAAAACATAAGAAAACACGAGTGGAATTGGTAGAGTGAAGAAGAAATACAGTCCGGGCCGGCATTAGTGGAAGAAAGCCAGCTGAAATAACTCCCTTGTGGACGGGCTCTTCAAGCTTTCATGTGTCACCATGGAAACCCAGAGAGCGGTAATTTTGTACAAACAAGAGCCGACAAAAGTGCTGTCAAGCTTCTGAGCGAGATACACGTAAAAGAAAATCACAATAATAATAATTCATCTGGATTACTCTGTGGCTGACAGAAAACCATTAATACAATACGGGTTGTTGTTCATCCATAAGAAAATGTTTTTAACATATCTAACTATTAAATAGAGAGTTTAGTTTTCAGGCCAGTTGAGGCAAATTAGTGATTTGCGATATTGCGATGTAAAAATAGAATGTTAATGTCGTAAGGCAAAGTAGCATCTCAACCATAAAGTAACAAGTCTTTCCAGTAATCACTCAGCAACTGTTTGTCTATTCTCTAGTTTCCCATTCAAATAAATCCAACAGATTACATTTCAAATCTTCACACAGTAGTATTTGGACTCATGTTTGCCTTTATGTGCTGGTGGAAGTATCCAACATCTGGGACCAGGTTGTTTTTGTTTATTTTGACAGAGAAGCATCAATAAAAAAATAGGTTAATGATTATTAAGTCTAGTTTTCTCCTGTTTTGACTGCTGCTTATAGGAATGCTTTGAAGAATATCCACTTTTCAAAAGTGTTTATTCAGGAACAAAAGCTTGTCTAAACTATTTGTGGTTTATTTGGACAGCTGGAATATCTTTTTAGCTCAAACTCATTAGGAACATTGCAGAAAATGTTCAAATGTAAGTGTATGTACATTTCTTGATGGTTTACACACTGTGCTGTTTGCCTGCAGGAGCTGCAGTGGGACATCGAGCAGCACACAGAGAGCGTGGCGTCGGTGCTGACGCTCTGTGACGTCCTGCTGCACGACGCCGACGCCTGCGGCAGCGACGCGGAGAACGACTCCATCCAGCAGACTACGCGCAGCCTGGACCGGCGCTGGAGGAACATCTGCGCCACGTCCATGGAGAGGAGGATGAGGTGAGCGGGCCGACAACTAAGCCACAAAATGATCAGAAATCTCCCCCGTGAAGTCTTTATTATGTCAGGATGGGTCATTACACCTGAGGGCAGGATTAACTCAATTCCATCACCCTCTAACAAAAAGTCAATTTAATAAAATTAGTAAGTTATTCTTTTTATCTTTTTTTAATTATTTTTTTACGTTTGAAAAAAATCTGCTTTTGGATTCAAGACATACTTCAAGGCTTCTTTTGTTTGTTTTTTACTTATAATTTATTTTTCTTAAATATATGAATTTGTTTTATTTTTTTAGGTATGGACAATATAAGTCAATCAATAAAAAGGAAAAAATAAAATAAGTTATCAGTCAATAAATCAGTCAGTTTTCATATGCATGTTTATAAAAAAGAACAGAGATGTATTTATTTGTCTCAGTTGCTCGGGTTTTATCAGTTGACCTTCCACATAGACAACGCACATTTTAAAAGTGAAATGATCCATCTGTTGTCTCCAGGATCGAGGAGACCTGGCGTCTCTGGTGTAAGTTCCTGGACGACTTCTGTCGCTTTGAGGACTGGCTGAAGAGCGCTGAGATCACTGCGGCCAGCCCGGACTCGGCCAACGTGCTCTACACCAGCGCCAAGGAGGAGCTCAAGAAGTTCGAGGTGAGAGGAAACATCTCTTTTTAGTTCTTTTGATTTCTGTAAGCAGTCTTTCACTTTGGCAGAATAGTGGAAAGTGTGGGGTAAAAAGAAAGTCTGAGAGAGGTCTTAAACCCCACAAGACTTAAAAGAAGGATGTGTCTTTTATCCCATTGGGTACATTTCTAACACTCTTATCTTATGAACTACATCCCGCTTTGCAGTGTGAGTGAAGTTTCAGCTTCAGGTGTCCTGTTGCTATAAAACACAGAAATAACACAGATTAGCATCTGATAATCTGGAGGTGTAGATATTGTTGTTTATTGAACACATTTCATCCTGTGGACGACCAGTGACCTATTGACTGACCACCCGAGACATGCGATGGGAGCTATGGGAGAGTAAGGGTCAGAATCAGCATTGGGATGTAGGTTCAATTCCATAAAGTGACACGAAAAGGTTATCAATCCTCCTGAGCAGCTGGAAGTGGAGGCAGTTTCAACGTGTCAGAGTATATATTTACTTTAATCTAATATATGAAAGAAAAAAATGATTTGGTTTTTGAGGTGTCTTTGTAAATCCAACGGTTAATAATTCAAGTTCCAATTAAATCATTCTTTTATATGGTATTACAGTTTAAGTGTTTTGGAAGTAAGTGCTTTTTTAATAAAGAAATCTGGCATAAAACAAGAAAAGGGAATTAAAGTGGAATTTGGTGAAAAAAATGGGAACATGTTCCATTTAAAATTCCTAGGAAATGTTGATCTTTGGTAACACATCAAACTTAAAGTAATCCTGTCTTCTAAAAAACGTTAACAGGTCCTTTATATTGACTCATAAGTTGTTTCTGTTGTCCTGTCAGGCGTTCCAGCGGCAGGTCCACGAGCGCCTGACTCAGCTGGAGCTGGTCAACAAACAGTACCGCCGTCTGGCCCGGGAGAACCGCACCGACGCCGCCAGCAAACTCAAGCTCCTCGTCCAGGAGGGGAACCAGAGGTGGGACAGCCTGCAGAAGAGGGTGGTTTCCGTTCTCCGCAGACTCAAGGTGAGACAGGTGGTTCAGGAGAGGATCTTTCTTATCAATAAAGACCTCAGATCTCATTTACGTAGACAATTAAATCATTAAGATATTTAAAGCTTCCTTAAACAGCAGCAGGAGGTCGATGATTTTGAACTCAAAGTAACTGCATGCGTGAAAATAAAACAAAATGACTGCAGTGTAGGAAATACTGCTTTTCTTAAGCAGTAGTAGTAATACTAAAGTGTAGAATTACTGTTACAAGTAAACCTCTTGAATTGTACCAAGGTATAAGCATCAAAATATACTAAAATGACCAAAACTAATACTTTAAAACACTTGAAACTTTTTTTTTATACTGCCAGCTATCTTAATCCATAACAGTGCGTCATCAATTATTTGTAAATGTATGTGTCGTATTAATAAAAGGAACCTACAAAGTAACTTAAGTTGGCAAATAAATGTAGTGTAGTGGAGTAAATAGAAAAATACTTCCTTCCAAAATGTAGTGGAGTAGCAGTATAAAGTAGCATATAGTGAACAAATTGAAGTACCTCATAATGTACTTAAGGGCAGTGCTTGAGTAAATGTACGAGTCAGATAACGGTCAGAAAGCAGAGTGTGTGGTGCTGCAGCCGATCTGAGGGATCGCCCTGCTCTCCGCTCTAAGCCGGCAGGATTTAGGTCAGCTCTCCGACGGTGACGAGGCACCAGCGTCACGTTGCCAGGGAGACGTTTGCATCACGCCATGTGGAGCTGAGCAGATCAATATATTTATGTTGCTTTGAGTTAGGATGTTGTCAAAGAACTCAGCTGGTGTAGAAATATCCACATCCTGGGAATTTGCAGCAGAGAGTCACCAGTGGTTTATATATTCCTATTGTTGTTATTTTTATTTATACTGTAACTTAAATGTTTTCTTATTATCTTTGTGTGATCGGTCTTATCCCGGTATTCATTCGTATTGCTGTTGCTCCTCGGACACCTGCATTTCCCTACAGGGATTAATAAAGGTTTAATTTATCCCATGTTATATAGTCACAGTGGTTTATTCCCAGAATATAGATGAATGAGAGAAGGCTGCTAAGATACAATTCATTTAATTCAGAAAAGAATTTTGCACAATATTATTATGTATCTTTTCAGGGATGTGTGTAAAAAATGCAATTTACTTTGAAAAACATGCAGTTCTAATGACATTTGAGCTCTGTTGGAGAGAATGAATGTTGTTTTATTAGATATCAGTGCTTGTAAGAGAATCACTGTTTTCAGAGGCATGGTTTCTTAACTCAAACTAATGTTGTTAGCATGATATGCTCTGAACTAGCATCTCCATCTTCTGCCCTGTGCTCCTGCAGCACTTCACCTCTCAGAGAGAGGACTTTGAGGGGACTCGGGAGGGGATCCTGGTCTGGCTCACAGAGATGGACCTGCAGCTCACCAACGTGGAGCATTTCTCCGAGAGCGACGTCGAGGACAAGATGAGGCAACTCAACGTAAGTCTGCTCCTGCTGGCAGTTACGCAAAGCACAGCGCCATCTTTTCTTTAACCCTGGCTTCCTTAATGACCAAATTGTCTTCTTCTCCCCTTTAATGTTCAGGGCTTCCAGCAGGAAATCACTCTGAACACCAACAAGATCGACGCTCTGATTGTGTTCGGGGAGAACCTGATCCAGAAGAGCGCCCCTCTGGACGCCGTGCTGATGGAGGACGAGCTGGAGGAGCTGCACTCGTACTGCCAGGAGGTGTTCGGCAGGGTGTCCCGCTTCCACCACCGCCTGGTGCACCGCCGCCCGGTCAGTGAGCACAGGGACAGCAGTCACAGTAGACTTTGATACTTTTCTTATTACAAATGGGCGTTTCAGGCTTTTCTTTATAGTAATGATAAGATATGTTGTAAAGCAAAAAGAACGAATGATCCACAGAAAACAAATTAAAGAACATACTTATCAAATGTAAAAAATATTCCTTATTATAAGGCAATGTTTTTTGTTTAATTGTGTTCTTACTGAGTAAGTCAGGGTTTCAATACTCTACTTAAAACATTTTATTTTTCCAAAAAAAGTGCGTAAAAAAAGATTATATATAAACAAATTATTGCATAAAAATATAAATAATAATAAAGAAACGAATAAAGAAACACAGAAAATATATAAATTATAAAAACAAAATCATCATAGAGTATGAACTAAACTCTGTAAGGCTAAACATTTCTTATTTGTCAGTTTCACACATGGCTTGTCCAGAAGAGAGACTAAATATTTGTTACAGTGGTACATTTCACTTTTATTATTAAGTAAATGTCTGGCTTTACCAATTAAACCTTTTATTTTGGAGGAATACTGCTCTTGTTGTTATTCCTCCTACTTGAAATCATTCAATTGTCTGTCTAATGAAACATGGAGGACAATATGTATGTGTCTCTCCTCAGGGACACGTACGTCTAACCAGACTAAATCACTTTTTGTTACTTACTTTTTCCTTCTTTAATATTTTGTTAAGTTCCTGGAGGAGGAGAGGGATCTATCAGACCTGGACGACTCCCCCGATCTGACCAGTGGGACGTCCTGGGAGGAGTCGAGGAAGAAGAAGGAGGAGGAAGAGGAGGATGTTCCAGCAGGAGGGGCAGCGGGACGGCAGGTCATGTGTCAGCTCCTCGCCCCCCCCCTGGAGCGGTCGGGCAGAGAGACGCCCGTCAGCGTGGACTCCATCCCGCTGGAGTGGGACCACACTGTGGACGTGGGAGGGTCTTCATCACATGAGGATGATGAGGAGGACACCACATACTTCAGCACCCTGTCAGGTAATAACTGCTGCTTATAGGCTAAACTTGTTTGTGTTGTGGTGTCATATGTGTTTAATAATCTTTCACATTTTCCAATAGCTTGAAGAAATCATAAAACGTTATAAATACATGTATAATATGAATACAATCTGAAGAATAATTAAAGTAGGCACAACCAAGGATTGCTTTTCATCAGTTTCCCAAAATAAATAAATAAGGTAACAGCCTTGGATTAAATACGGTTAAACTTTCAAACATTTCAAAGAACTGAGAGTTTACCAGGAACAGTTTTTCTGAGAAAACCAAGTCCAGGATATATAGTGCTGTGAATAAAACCTCAGTGCATTCTTGAACACAGCAGAGCTCAAAACAGTCGCGGTGCCCAGAAACAGCAAAATGAATGGTTTCCTGTGATTGACGTTTCCAAGTTCCACTTGTTTGCAAGATGGTTTCCAGCCTGTAATGGAATTAAAGGAGACCAAAGAAAGTAAGAGAGTTTGAAGAATAGCCAACACTTAAGCTGCAGGTCCCCCCCCCCCCCCCCCCCCCCCCCCCCCCCGCCTGCCTGAAATACCTCCACTATGTCACACACGCTTCTATTGAGTAGTGCTCCAACACTTTGTACGTGATAGGCTAAGGGGCGGGACATCTCTAAGTGGTTGACCAATAACAACAGAGCCGGCCATCTAACCAATCAGAGCAGACTGGGCTCTGGTTTCAGACAGAGGGTGAAAAGAGGAGCTGCAGCACAGGCAGTATGAGAAAAATAAAGAGCTTTTTGAACATTAAAGCATGGAAACATGTCACAGAAGAGGCACTTCATACTAATATGAACCTGAAAATGATCAGAATGTCTTGTTCTTCAGTTCAACCACACAGATGTTCTCTTCTCAACGTCTCAGCTGCTCTTATATATTTAGCCCCCCCCCCCCTTCTCTGTTACAGATGTGCAGGTCACAAAGAGCTCAGAGTCTTTTGTTAAAGCGACTGTCAGAGCAGTGAACGCTGCCTCGGGTAGGCTCCGCCTCCTGCATGCCTCTGCTCTCTGTCTGCTTATGGACCCACATCAAGTTGCCCCCCCCACATCCCCATTATTACACGTTGTTGCTGTGCAGAGCTACAGCTTCTCATTCACTTTAAAGAAATAGTGTTGCTTACCAAGATCAAATCTTTGTAAGAGAAAAAAGGAAACTTGATGTATTTTACTCTTCATTCCATTTGTTTTCCCATGTTATAATGCTGTGTCTGCATGTCTATGACATATACCTGAGTCTTATGCATGTATATGACATATACCTGAGTCTTATGCATGTATTAGAAGACTGTGTGATGAATCCTTATTACTCTATTTTCTCTCTCTTTGGTTTTGCCCCTCCATACATTCCCTCATTAGTTTTCACACTTCATTTCCTTAACTCTTTTCTCCTCTTTCTCCTCAGGGAAGTCAGTGAGCGACCCCCCCAGCTGGCACCAGCCCGTCTCACCTGAAAGGAAACGAGTTCCCAGAGAAATGATCCGAGGCCTGAGCGCGTCTCCTTCACACACCTCCAGCACTCCCTTCCACCAGCAGGGCTACGTAAGGACACACACATTAAGATCCATGCTCCATCATCCCAGGAATTTAGGTTTCATTTGTTTTGATGTGTGTGTGTGTGTTTTCAGGCTAAGCTGATGTCGGAGTGCAGCGGCAGCATCAACACGGTGAAGAGAGTGAAGCTGATCCTGAACGATGAAGAGGGGCCGGAGGATCAGGGTCTGACCGTCAGCACGGCCGACAAGCAGACCAGCACAGGTACAGAGATACACAACAGGGAGAGAGGTGTCACTCTGCTGGGTTTCTTTCAGGGAAATGTGATTTTTTTTGTGACTTGTGTTTTATACCCCACTGGCACAAAATGTAAGAAAGTCCTGCAATTTAGACTTTATACTTATTTCTCGACTTACCTTTTTGATTAAGCGATTATTATCCTAGACGTATACAGGGTACGTGCTTCATTCAACGAAGAGTCCAAAACTCAAAGATATTAATTGAAATGATATAAAATGGAGAAATTCAGCAAATCACCACTTTTGGGAATACAAAATGAAAATGTTGTGAAGAGGCTGATGATATTCTTTGTAATTGTCTAGTTTGTTTTGGTTTTCAAACAAATGCTTTATAAATGGTAATGATTGTGTTTGTTCATTTAGCTCGTAATAACAAACAGTTACATTATAAATTGTAGGAAAAACTCAAATAAACAGTTTAATGCTCAAATGCTCATTCAGTAACACTAAATCTAGGGTGAAATGAATTCATATAAAAAGACATTGTGCTAATGCTTTAGGACCCAAGGCACAGTGTTTTTACAGCAGTGTTAATAACGTGTCTCTCGTGTCTCTGCAGGTGTGATCGAGCGCTGGGAGCTGCTTCAGGTACAGAAGCTCAACAACGAGACGGACATCAAGCAGGACCTGGAGCAGTGGCAGAAGCTGAACTCTGACCTCTGTGATGTCACTTCCTGGTTGGGCCGGGTGCTGCCAGAGCTAGAGAGGCTGCAGAGGATCGCACCGGCCACCAGCATCCGAGACATTGAAGTGAACATCCGGAAACTAAAGGTAAAACACCGACAACACCGTATAATCGCATAAACCTTCTAAATGATGGAGGATAAACAAGTACTCATCTGTTCTGTCTTGTAGGAGATGCAGAAGTCCTTCAACAGCTACAAGTGTCTGATGATCTCCACCAACCTGAGCAGCCGCCACTTCCTGTGTGGCGACAGCGCCGAGCTGCAGGAGCTGCAGGAAGCCCTGAGCTCTGCCAACAGCAGCTGGCCTCAGGCCTGCAGCGGGCTGGAGAGCTGGGAGAGGAGGCTGCACGCTGCGCTCATGCAGTGTCAGGTCAGACATGGAGACACTCTTACATCAGAGAATACAGAATGTAAAGTAATGTGGTTCAGGAAATGCTCCAATGAATGCATAGAAGGCAAGCACCTCTACCCCTCTGACTCTGAGCTCTTCTCCTGCAGGAGTTCCATGAGACGCTGCACTCCCTGCTGCTGTGGCTCGCTCAGGCGGAGAACAAACTGAACGCTGTGAATGTCAGCGACACCTCGACGCCACGCTCCGTCCTGCTGGAGCACCAGGACACCCTGACGGTGAGCAGAGAACCATCCTTTCATAAGCCCTGCCATGACATTTCTGTTTTTATCTTGTATAGCCAAAAAACAAAAACATTTCTAAACTGATTCCAAGATATTTGAATTTCAGTGAGTTGAGGGGACATTTGAAGTTCATGAGGATTTTTTTGCCACAGTTTTGTCTTTATTTTGGTAATATATAAGTTCGACTTGTTGCCTTGGTTATGTTGGATCTTACATTTTTAGATTTTCACCTGGAGTGTCACAAACAAATCCTTTACTTGAAATACCGTTGCGCTACTAGATAATGAGACAAGAGAACATTACATTTACTTCTAATTAAAGGGTTGGTATTGGAAAATATATTTCAACCTAACTTTAATCTGCTTGATACATTTGTTACAGTTCCCTCACTAGCTTATACACTTAATTAAAACAGGAAACACATTTGCACATGTACACTTTGTCATGATTTCACTATCCGATCCCCCCAGGCTCTGCAGGAGGAGCTGTGCGGCCGCCAGCGGCAGGTCTCCTCCCTGCAGGAGATCTCCTCTCAGCTGCTGCTGGAGGACAGCAGAGAGGACAGCGTGGAGGCCAAGGAGAAGGTCCACGTCATCGGGAACAAGCTGCAGCTGCTGCTCCGACAGGTGGCCGCTCACCTGAGCACGCTGCAGGGCACACTGGTGAGGCCTACTGTTCATCTCACTCTGGTCTGACTGTGGGGGGGCTGTGATAGTGTCTTTTAAACCATGAGCTGCCAATTTTCTATTAAAATCTGCAAGTGATAATATTGTAAAAACAGGACCATAGAGTGTGCCATTTTTTGACAAATTACAGTTTATGTAGCCAACTATTCCTAAAAAAATTGTAATTGTGTTGCACAAAGACGTTACCCGATTGGTAGTCACGTGTATAAACAATAATGTTATCACTGCACCAAGTCTGTTTTAAATATCAATTGGAACTGTAAAACACTAAATGTACGTCACTAGTGTTCATGTTGGACATTCCTCGGCGATGCTATCAGAGGTAAAGTAAGGTAACTTTCCTCTGATGAAAGTCCTCGTATCTGATGGTGTGTTCATTGTCTGTGTCCCAGGAAACCTGCTCCTCCGGCACAGAGATGGACAGCATTGCTCTGGGAACGCTGCAGAAGGTATGATCATTTCATCTTTAGTTACAATCTCTGAGAGCAGTGATGCACAAACACCTCCATTACAGGCTAACACTAACATTAGGTCATCCGTTTTCAAATATGAATGTAAAATAAAAACAAGGATTGTGGTTGCTGTTAAGGCATAATACTACATTTTTGAAATACTCAATTACAAGAGAAAAACAAGGAAGTTACATTATAGTAAGTTGTGAAACTGTTACTCTGTTACTTCTTCTACCACTTTAGAGTTTTATATTGAAAACCTAGATAGTTTGACCTATTTGGAACTTCTTCATGAAGCCACACTGACTGATGTAGCTGTTGTTTTAAGTGATGAATGCTTTGTCTCCTGCTTCAGGAGGAGGCTGCAGGTCTACATGCAGCTATCGGACCCCCAGCAACTAAAAGGTAACTTTGACAAACTGTACTTTATGAAGTATGTAATTCTAAGGGTTTAACTAACCCCCCCCCCAAAAAAACTATGCAGATATGTGGGCCTTCAAAACAGTTTGATGTTAATGTCGATTTTTTTCATAATGTTGAATATCCTAATTAATGGGGTCACTTTTTGTGGCAATTGCAGTAAAATGTCTAAGTGTATGAAAATGATGTTTGAATGTTGGGCACACTGTTGTGTATAAAAACACTAACATTTACATATGACTTTCATTTTAGAAGAAGCTTGTACCTGGGCTTAGAGGCTGGAAGATTTAAGTCGTTTTCAACTCATCGTAGCACCTAAAATAGTTAGATCTTGAGAAGTAGTTTTAAGTTCCAAAAATCCTTCAAGGTCAACTATTATGCAAAATCCACTTTTTCATGTATTTTCTACATAACCATGTGTCCGCTTTGTGTAAAGAGATTCTGAAAGCTTCAGGAAAAAAGATTCTCTCTCTTTTTGTCCTGATCCATTTATATAAAAACCTGTCTGAAAATGAGCTGATCAGATTTTGGCCACTTTATGATGTCATAACGATGTTTTGGCTTGTGTAACCATTAGCCAATCACCAACCAAGGTAACCCCCCCCCCCCCACACCTTATCACCTGAATCTCCTCCTAGAGCACCACTGTGTTCTTTTTAACCAAATATCTCTCAGAGGGGCGTGGGGAGGGGCTCCTTATTTTCATCTAAAGTAACAGACAGAGAATCAGCACTTTGGAAACAGGGCTGAAACAGAGGGGATTGTGGGATGCTGCAATGACCTGTTTGGTGTTTGGAGCCAAACACTTCAGAGACATGTTTTGTATATATCTGAGACCTATGATATATTGATGAAAAACAGTATAATAGGGGACTTTTAAAGTAAACGTTATGACGCTGATGTCATACATCTATTTCCCCCTCAATAATCTCTAACGTCTGTGCAGCTCCAGGGAGCGGCGGGACTCCCCCCCCCAGCGGCCCTTCCTCCACCGGGTCCTGCGCGCGGCCTTCCCGCTCCACCTGCTCCTCCTGCTGCTGCTGGTCCTGGCCTGCCTGGTGCCCGTCATCGAGGACAACTACAGCTGCACCCTGTCCAACAACTTCGCCCGCTCCTTCTACCCCATGCTGCGCTACACCAACGGCCCCCCGCCCACATGAGCACTGCCACCACGCCCAGAACCTCCCCTAAGAAGACTGAGGGACTCAATATGTGACGTGGAAACAGAACATTGAGCCGTTCATTGTGTGAAGGTGCAATTTAAAGACATTCTACCTGTCACACAAAAAAAAAGCATCGCCCTTTTTTAAATCTAAATCTGATTGGTGTATTTAAATATATATTTATTGTTCGTGGTGTTCCACATTTATAAAAAAAGAAGCCATAAACTGGTTCGTTTTTAACGTTCTGCCATTTTTATATGTAGATTTAACGTCCCCACTTACCATATTCAACACACGGAGATAAGTAAGGTCTCTAGATTTATTTTAATATCTACGCTATATTTTCTGATTTTGTACTTGCATTGTAAGCCATGGGATCTATATTGAGGAGTAAAGGTCAGTGATTACCAAAGCGTACAGAAAGCGAGAATTACACTAGCCATTTTCTACCACTGCCGCTATTTTTACAGTTTTTCATAGAAGAAGGCAGCCTGTTGTTGACGGCACATTTTGTACAGAAGAGAAGAAGATTGATTAAGAGATATTTAAAAAGATCTGTAAGATATTTGTTCTAAATAATGCTGGCAGTGACTCCTGCAGACATGCCTTTCTGTAGCCAACAGCTGGAAGATCTTGTATTTGTAATGGTGTTTAAGGACTACTGTGTATAAGGGCAAACTACTGAGAAAGAAAACGCAAAATTATTGTTTCTGCATATTTGAGTTTGAGTGTCTTCCTGTATTCTATTTCAATAATTTAGCATGGGACTGTAGTCTAAGCGCTGGTGTAATAAAATGACAGATATTTTCTTATGTTAACAACTTCATGGCCAGTGTTCGGGAGGTCATTTTTGTATATTTCAGCATATATACAACAAGTCGTCAAATGAAAGCTGCATTAGGTGATTTGGTACCTCTAGGGCGCAGAAAGAGCCCAAAATCACCGCTCATATAATAACGGATAATAAGGGGCTTTTAACAAATATAGTAGCATTTTTTTTTTTTTTAAACGGTTCAAATTCCAGCAGATTTAGCTATTGGGTCTATGTGCATGATTACAACCTGACCTGCTAGCTAACAGATGCTAATTTGTACAATCATTTCCACATTAAATTGCAGCAATAGCATTCAATGAAATATTGCTTGATGAAGTTTCAAAGTGTTTTTTATATTTTGTTAATATTGATGCAACAATATTAGCTCCAGCTGGTGGTCCTGTCACATCACTGCCATTTAGCTGTAGATCAAAGAACACAAAGCCCCCCCCCATGTTATGTTCAAATGCCTAAATTACTTTATTCTTAAATGATTTGATGTTGTTCAAAACGTACCCAACGCTGTCCGAGTTGGACCCGTGGAGTAAAGTCCTGCAGGTGTCAAAAAATCCAACAGGTTGAAACAAAGATTGTTTAAAAATATATATAATTTGTGGTTAATATTGTGATGTACGTGGAGATTTACCTGCTTTACACCACTCTTCATCATGAAGTTAGAGGACTGGTTTCAAATCTATTGATCCAGACTCTGAGTCGAACATGAATGCAAGTGATACTTTGAGCATTGGATGTAGCTGTGTACCTCTCAATCAAAGACCATTAAATGTACAATGTTAATATTATTGATCCTAAATGTTGGAAACTCAAGTGTTTGGTCCTTATTTGTATATAATGTCACACTCGGCAGAACAGAAACAAACAACAAAACGTGTGTAAAGTTTGATTTATTTTGTGAACTCTTATTTATGGGATGTATAGACTGTCAGTTTTGATTGACAATAAACTGTGTTTGCCATGATTCACGGCTGCTTGTTTATTGTATTGTAGGTTTGCTACAGGCAGGAAACAAGATCTCAGATTTGCATATGTGTGTGTTGTGAACAAGTGGAAATAGTTTCAGCATCAGAGATGGATGAGTGTGTGTTGTGTGCATGCATGTACGGGTTACAGACACCGGGAAAACACAGATATTGAACATGTTTCTGTATACTGTAATAGCAGTGGTAGGAATATTTGGCACTAAGGCTTCATTTACATTGGCAGAAAAATGGCACTGTTCATGACATGTCCAAATGATGTTGGGTCATTTTGGGTTTCTTCAGTTTGTCTGGCCAGATTGAAACAAATCTAGTTTAAAGGACTTAAAGCCAACAGTTCCTTGTTTCTAGTAAAGCCAAAAACAATTCAACTAACCAGTCCTGGACCGATGCTCATAAGACTTTTCATCATGTGGTATCCTGTCTAAATTACAGCAATGATCGCTGATTATTCCATCCATCTCGACTACTTGGTTAAATAAGACCACCAAGGCACATTCATTTCCCTTTGTTTAGGCAGAAGTTCTTCACAGTTGTAGCTGCAGCAGAATTGACTGGAAGTACGCTATACTCTAATTGCTTTAAATTGAATATATCTGTAAAGGTTTGCACTTAGCCCGGCTTGCTATAAATAGTATCCGTTCCTTTCCTGTTTAACTTATCATTGAGTAAACTGACCGGTGGTTACGTGACATATTGTAGGAATATTTCATATTATTTCAAAAGCATAACAATACAGAACATTCGATACACTACACTTAAAATGTACACAAAAACAATGCATCAGAGATCAGTTTTAGTTTAACAATGATGCATACTTAATAAGCTTTTTTTCAGAAGAATTCGATGTTGCGTGGCTATTGTTATATGATCACTTTGGTTTGTTTTTTGAGGAAGGCTCAGGCTGAATATAGCAGCTTATGTTCAAGAGTAATCCAAACTTTAAAATCTGACAGGTACTTTAAAGGTGTCATGAACTTTAGGGCTAAACATAATGGGTAAATACATTTTAGTTTTGTATAACCTCTGTGTGCATCACTCTTCATAGTTGAATGCACTTATTGTGAGTCGCTTTGGATAAAACTCAACTCTTTATGTGTTAACTACGAACAGTGCCACAAATTGTATTGTAAATCCAGCCTTTGAAGAAGAACAGTTTTTGTTAACAGTCGTTTTGTTTAAAGGCCACAAACTGCTGAATCTTTACTCATCTAAAACTTGTAGTGTGTACAAAGAGAGTAGAAAACAGGCACCGATTAAAACACCAAAGAACAGTAGTAGTAGTGAAAGAGAAAAACACCACAGTGTGATAGAACACACAGCCATTTTTTTTTTTTTTAAAGCTATATGACTATAACAACCCTTATGGAGATGAATATTGACCACATGCATTTCTCTGTAAGTCACTGCAGATTGTGGATGGCTTGTTCTGGATGATACACCAAGGTGACAAAAGAGATACAAATACTGCATATCAAAAAAGAGCTCAAACTGACTGGCAGAGGTCCAGCGATGTTCTCATGAACATCTACTGTAGTGCACATTCACAAGAAATATTTACGCACACAAAATATACATTCGATCGAAAGCTTCTCTTTTTCCAAAGACTAATAACATCTCAAAAAAACGTTACCTCACAACAGCACTTTCTGTTTGTTGTTAATCCTTTTTTTTGTTTTCCCTTTTCTCGATCTTTGGGAGGTGAAAAGCCATTAAAGGTTTGGTCTCAGTTAGTGTCTTTCCGTCCCGTTACCCCTGTAAGGCAGTTTCCATGACAACTCGATCAGGGATGATGTAATCTGTTGGTTCGATTGTCGGACCGCCGTCTCCTTCATCCAGCGACCACAGCTCCGGATGGATGTAGCTGTGAAGAACGTGTTTAAAGTTATTTACCACAAGTCAAAAGAAAAGGTGCACTTAATGAAGAAAAAGCACAATACAGTGTGTTGAAAAATATGAAAAACGTTATTATAACATGTCGTAAAAAGTCATATTATAGTATGTTGAGAAATGTTATAAAGTCACATTACAGTATGTTGAGAAATGTAAAAAAAAAGTCATATTATAGTATGTTCAGACATTTTATAAAGTCATCATTTAGTATGTTGAGAAATGTGAAAAATAGTTATTATAGTATGTCGAAAATAAATAAAAAATCATAGTACAGTATGTCGAACATTTTGAAAAAAAAAGTGAAACAAGGCATAACATAGTACGTATAAAAAGTCATAGTATAATAATTTGAAAATATCCGAAACATGTCATATCTGAAGTGAGAAAATCTTGCAATTTCTTCAGGAAAAATGACTTTAAAGATGAATTATTTATCAAAAAGAATGGCTGTTTATTTTCCTGCTGATACTAATCAGTCAAATCATTGCAGGTCCATAGTTTTCACCACTGTAACTCACTCGTTGCTGTCCATACAAGCCAGACTCTGAAAAGACGGAGAGAGCTGCAGACCCTCAGGGCTTCTGTCCGGGACCGGAGCCTCTGAGCCCGGCAGGTGGGGTGGGGGGGCCGCGTACTGCTGCTGCTGCTCGGAGGAGGTGTCGGAGCTGGGCGAGGACGATGATTGGCTGCTGCCGCTGGACATGTTGGCGTCCAACATCTCCAGCAGGAGGTCGTACACCAGCACAGCGTTCTTCCTCTTCATGCTGGAGAGGTGGTCCATGCCTTTGTTACTGCAGAGGAAGAGGAGGGAAGCACACGTCACACATTGACATCAACAAAAAGTTGTGGTTGTTGATTATTGCTTCGTTGCATCATTTCGAAATAGTACCTGGGAATGTTACAGTCATAGACATTGCTGCTTCTCTGTTGGAAGCTCTTTCCACGGCGTTAAATATAAATGACTTCCTCAAAAAGTCCAAATATATGTATAATATCAGTCAGTATTGTTGAATATTGTCTTCAGTTATCCTCTATTTTATGAGTTTTCTCCTACTTTGTTCTACATGTTACTGGCAAACCAACATTTTATAAACATGCAAATGTAATAATACAAACTTAACTCAACTTTAAAAATCCCACAAAATGTGATGTATAGTTAAGAGGATTGTATGTCTCCGAAAATGTAAGCTTCTGAACACATAATCATTTCAAGAAATGCTTTATTTTAGACAAATATTATTTGTTATGTTATGTTTTCATTATTGTTTAAAAGTCAGCTTCTTCAAAGTAAAGCACTTCGACTTTCTTGTGTAAAAAGTGCTGCATGAATAAAAAATGTATTTATGATAACATATTTTTTCTTGAAATGTCTTTCGAACATCACAAGTCAAGTGTTCTCTCCAAGTGTCTGAAAGAGTAACGTGCGTGAGTGCGTATTCATGCCTGCTGAGAATTAATGTAGGAATACATTTGTGAGAGTGTACCAATAAAGACAGGTGATGCCAGACAGCTAGAGTATAATCGTCTCTGAGAATGTGTGCTTTTTCGATTCTCTCCTCTGCGGTTTTGCCGTTTCCTGCCGCCTCTGGCCGTACCTGACGTGGCGGATGTGGGAGAGCAGCATGGTGAGGTGTCCCAGACGCAGAGTCTGCTGCTGGGTGGACAGGCCCAGCTTGGAGATGGCCCAGACCAGAGCATCGATCACAGAGTCGAGCAGACGCAGCATCTTGTTCCTGCTCTCCAGCTCCTCGGCCGTCTGAGGGGAGCTGGAGCACAGATCTGCAACACACACACACACACACACATCTCAGGAGGGAGACACACACATCATCTCCCTTCAGACGGAGACTAACAATCTCCAAAGCGTTGTGCCAGTATTATAAATCACTGCATATCTGCAGCTATGTGGTCTACGGAGGCTGCTGTGGATGCTCTTTTAGAACAAAATAACACTATATTGAATCTATTTCTCAAGACTTAAAGGTCCCCTATTATACTGTTATTCATCAATATATTATAGGTCTCAGATATATACAAAACATGCCTCTGAAGTGTTTGGCTCAAAATGAAATGTATCTATTCTTATCGACAATGTTCACAGGGCACTGATAGCAACCTTTATTGATTAAACAAGAGGTTAACCAAAGTTCATCCATTATTTTAAATACACAGGGTCACGGTTCTTTTTGTATTTACTTGCACTATTTTTTCTCTTTTTCTGTTGTATTGTGTTGCACTGTTGGAGGAGCCTGTGACCTAAGATTTTCATCGTCATAACTACACTGTAGCTATGTCCGTATGACTAATCAAAGCCTTGAACTTGATGTAAATTCCAGATGAAAAGCGCCGCAGAGAGAGAAGAAGCTGTAGATCATCCTGTTGTTACAGTTCAGCCACAGCCCTCCATCTGTCTAAATACATAAATCTTAAAATTCCTCCCTGTCCTCTCTGACTTTTCAAACTCCATTTCACTTCTTTCACAATTTGTTCCCTTTTTCGCACGCCAGCTGCAGTGGAGCAGAGTCAACAGAGAGCTGGCGGAGGAGCTTGTGTGCGTCTGTTAGGGAGGAACTGTGTTAAACTCTGAGGTCATGCGGAGAGGTCAGTCACCTCCATGAAACCTGTACAGTGGCTGCTGCTGGGGCTGGGAGAGGGGTTGGGGGGTGAGGGGATCAGGACAGTACACTGTGACCGCTGGGAACACATCACAGGTTAAAAGACACAAGCCGCTGTGCAATAAAGTACATCTTCACAGGTCATTTCATCCTACATGTACTTCAAACAAGTGGAAGCTTCGGCCAATCTCACTTCACCTGCACAATGAAACTACATCCAACCCTGGAGCAACACACACTGTTTTATTGTGAGGTTTAAAATGCGTCACATAAACTAAACCTCAAGTCAATGAAAAACTAGAAAAGTGCCCAGATTAGCTATTATATAATGGTACATATTTGATGTTTTAGGATCACATTTGTATGAAAACAAACACGGTAATAGGCATTCCTAGCAATCCATATGTATGTTTGTACATATTTTGTTCTTATTTCTGGGTATATAAAAGCTTTGTAGCGATATGTATAATTTCCACATGCTAGTTCTACCTTTAAGAGGACATTTTCATATTTTCAGCTTCATATTTGTGTTTTGTGCCTCTTCTGTGACATGTTAACATGCTTTATTGTTCAAAATGCTTCATTGTTCTTTGTCAAGATACCTGAATTGAATCAAGTTGTTATCCCTTTTTTGTATCTGCAAAAAGCAAGGCATTCAGCAGTCTTTACTATTTAAATAACATAAATCTGCTGTAAGATGACACTTTTGGCGGTTGTCTGCTCCTCTGAAGTGCTTTCTGCAGCAGGTGTATGTTTACAACTAATTCATAAGAACAAGAGCACGGAGATTGATCACCTCTAACGTAGAGACTGAGGGAGGTGATGCAACCTCTCAGACTTGAGATGCTGGCTCCTCTGAGAGCTTTGAGAGAATTTGGAAACCTTTATTTGGATTACACTTGTGCAAAGCTTTAACCCCACATCTTCTTTAATGCAACTCCAAATGGATAATGAACATTTATTTACCCCAGCTAATAAATGACACAGACAGTAAGGCCAAAAATATATATAAATATATTCATTTTTCAGCCTTTTTTTTTGCTCTGGTCAGTTTGTTTTAATGTGTGGGTCTGATGCGTGACAGGTGTCAATGAACCACTAAGTTCCAGATTAAAGTGTCATTAACCAAAACCAAGCAGAGGGAAAAGAAGAAGAAGAAGAAGCAAAACAACACTGTGATGTACCAACTGGCCAGGATCAGGCAGGATCTGTTGCTCGTTGCAAACTAACTCATCCGTCTCAGAAAACATTAAATGAAGACTGCGTTTTGTCCGCGTCAGCAGAACTCACTGGAGTTGAGGAGGATCATGGCCTTCAGACAGACGTACTCCTCCCTCTGAAGCTTCAGCTCACGAAAGCGAGAGGTGGCTGCCAGCAGCATGTCGAAGATCTCCATGATGCCCTCCACGCACTGGCCCTCCTCCCTGCAGACACACAGACACAAGGGAATTTATATTCCTCCACAGCCAGGTGCTGATAACATTTTACTGCCAGGTGTTAATAGGCTCAGAATGTGACAATAGGACATTGTTGACAATATCGGGGGGGGGGGTTTGTGTTTTTTTTCCCCTGTTTTTTTGTTATTATAGTGTTCTTAAAATATAGTTCGCTATCTGCGTTTTTTTATTTTTGTTTTACTTTTATGAATGCACCACGACACCAAGTCAAATTCCTCGTTCGTGTCAACCTACCTGGTAATAAACCCGTTTCGGATTTTTGTAACAAAATAAAGAAATCAAATCAAACCTCAACCTTTATGCAAAAAGTATCAAAATGTGTGCAGATTTTGCTCGGTCAAACCGCCTTTTTAAATTATTCAACACTTTGCAAAAGTATCTTTTAAGCAGTAGGGATACTGATAAACAGATAGTGGGTGGATATTCTGTTTTCTGATCCCGACAGCCCATGTGACTGGATGGTCTTATTTCACAGTTGGTGAGCTGGTGAGCACCTGAAAAAAAGCGCTCAAACACATTGTAGGCTAAGGGGCGGGACATCTCTAAGCAGTTGACCAATCACAACATAGCCAGCCAGCTGACCAATCAGAGCAGACTGGGCTCTGGTTTCAGACAGAGGGTGAAAAGAGGTGCTGGAGGCAGTATGAGAAAAATAAAGAGCTTTTTGAACATTAAAGCATGGAAACATGTCACAGTAGAGGCACTAAATACAAATATAAACCTTAAAGGTGGGGTAGGGAAGTTTGAGAAACCGGCTCGAGATACACTTTTTGTTATATTCCATGGAATGCTCTTAAAGGTGGGGTAGGTAATTTTGGAGAAACCAGCTCGAGTGCGCTAGAATTTGAAAATACACAGCCGGAAGAAATCTGCTACTTCCTTACAGAGCCCCTCCTCCAACACACACGAACGCGCACATGACCAATGAGGGCACGAGATAAGTTTGTGCACAGATGGAAGGCTGACAGGCAGGTAGGCCATCCAGTTATTTTAGCCGGCTGTGTATTTTCAAATTCTAGCGCACTCAAGCTGGTTTCTCAATTACCTACCCCACCTTTAACATTAGCACAATTTGGCCCTTTAAGACAACATTCAACTGACAATCTGAACGACTATTCTGTTTTCTGTTATTCTTATTTCCAATGTTTAAATCGTATAACAACATTGTGGTTTCCTTTTATATGATTTAGTCTGTTTAACTATTCTGTCTTTACTTCTATATCTATAGCATGTGTAACCACACCATTATAAGGTGAGGTTTCCTGGGAGGAGTTTCAAAACATTTGAAACAATACCCGGCCAACTCTACGACTTCTTGGTTAGCAGGTGTCATCATACGCTGGATCACACAAAGCAAACTAAGAGACGTGTGCTTTGCTGATTCTTTTATTTTGAATACACCTGCACATTAAGATGCAAGATAACCTCCCGAGTGTCTGGATCCAACAACGGGTGTTACAACTCTGATGCAAATGTATGCAGTGAACTGGAGACGAAGCATTACTTTGTCAAGGTTCATCTCATCCATACCCAAAACAATATTCTAAGTGTTAATTGGCTAGATTATTTTCTACATGTTGCACAATTGACTTGACACATTTATGGCAGAGTGCTTCCAATTAGGCATTACTAGGGTGACCAGGTGCCAACAAGCCACATGTGGGACAAATAGGACGTTTTTGCGGGACAATGCGGGACATGTTACTACGTTGCTTAGAGCTAGGTTAGATGTTTATATAATGTCTATCTAACCCTTAAGAAGAACATTTCTATTAAACTATAAGCTTATAAATATTAATAACAACGCTTTACTTTGGTTTAATTGTTTGCACAAACTATGCAAGTGAAGGAATTAAATATATTTGTTTTGAATGGAATTAACATAACTAATTATTATGACCAGAAAAAAATGACCGGATCGAGATTACTGCCACAGTCTGCTGAACTGTGTGCTAAATGTTAATTAAATCAGCTGCTGTTACATGTTACATTACATGTTACTTGTTAGATGCTTTTATCCAAAGCGACTTACATACTCAATACTGTGGGCAATCCCCACAGGAGCAATTTGGGGTAAAGTGTCTTGCCCAAGGACACAACGACATGCTGACTGCAGTGGGGTTTGAACCTGTGCTCCCCTGATCCCCATACCAAGGCTCTATCCACTGCGTCACACGCCTCCCGTGTTACCTCATCTCTTTTGGTTTCAGGAGGAATATATCCATAGATCGTGGGAGGGGGGGGGGGTGGTAGAGCAGGCTCGTGTCTGTTAGCGCTGCGGGGAAACTGTGTCGTGCATAATTGCGTCGCATTTGCGTATAAGATGCAGCCCCACACACTCTGCGTGTTCTGCGTGTAGGGAGGGGCGGCCCTGCCCATATGTTAATAAATGTCTCTGTTGATTGATTGACATCTGACACAGCTAATGGTGATGATAGTCCTCTCGTTTTCATCGGCAACATGTGTGGGACAAATGATCAAAATGCTGTGCAGTCCAGCACAAAGTGGGACACCTGGTCACCCTAGGCATTAGGTAGTTGGAATCTTTCTCTTAAACACATTGATTCTTAAATACAATCTGACTTCAAAAAGATTGAGTGAGTACAAAATCATGCAGCAAAGAGATATGGAGTTAAAGAGAACTTTAATACCATGTGACAAAAAGAGAAGATCCACAGAACTGACACTGTTCGAGAGAACATTGGAAAACCGCTCTGTTTCTGTCTCTGTTCAAGCGTCTCGTTGAGTGAGTGGATGGATTAGTATCCAGGATGTTTTCTGAGCCGTCCAAGGAGAAAGGGCTACCACTCAGCAGAGAAAAATAAGGCTGTGTTGTGAGAACATGTCGAGGTTAACCTAAGTCTATAGTGATAGTTTCCCTGGCAGTCGATGAACAAACACTTCCTATTGTCCTCATTAACATACATTTACCACTTGTCCACTATTCCTTTTTCACATGAAGATTTAGTTCTCAACAACTACTATAAAAAGACCACAATATATCTAAACAACTGACCAAAAGCACATTAACACACACTGTTTATTTGGACTAAATCCTCACTCACTAGAGTACCAAATGTGTATTTATCCGCCACTGACAAATAGTCCCTAACAAAAGCACTTTTTCCTCCTGTTTGAGTAACTTTTGAATAAAGAACTACAGAGACCAGCTGAAAGTTATTGACCATTTAAGACAAAAAAAGGTTACATTTATGCTGCGTATTTAAAGATTTGTGTCTCCCATTGAAGTCAGAAACTATCAAGAGAAGAATTAACACATTGTTTATTTTGGTATTTTTCTTGGATTTGTTGACAGTGAGAATAAATACAATTTAACTGCAAACCTGGAAAATCTACTTTATAATAATATATATAATAATTTATGCAAGCCCGACCTTCTGTCTTCAATCTACTGCACTTTGAACACCAGGAGGAACAAGTTGCTTTAATGTTTCATTAGCTGCTGCTACTGCTGACAAAACGTAAAGTCTTAAGTATCCTATGATTCATTAGGAAGTCCACAGTGCTGGTATAGTGGCAGCCTAATTACAGCGTGTTTACTGTGAATACAAAGGTTGAACTGAAGTGCCAGAAACAGCCAACTGTTGTCTGGCCGAAGTTGAAGGTCAGTGTGGAAGAAAACAGTAAGTGATAAAAGAAAATGTTGGCAAGAAAATGAGGTGGCAGTCTAGAAGAATCAGAGATGTATCTGCAGCGAGGGTTGCTGATATCTTTACCGTTTCAAGGTCTGAGTGAACTCCCTGATTATTGTGGGATATCAAATAATGAGAGTGCACCAATGTGGGAAGATTAAAACTAAACCGCCAACACTGTTATGGTAAACTGGAGGCTGCACACAATAATCATTCAGTAAAAGCCTTCCGAGGGTTAGGCTGCAGTTTGTAATATATCTCAAGTTAAGGAAAACAATTAGTCTGAGTCTGGAGAGAAGAATGACTGTAATGTAATGTTTTGGGGAAAAGGAAAACAAGTACTTGATAAGACTTGGACTTGGGGAACACACACAACTCATGCATATGAGGAACAATCTCTGCTAGCAAAAGCCTTAGCATGTTGGAGTAGAAGAGAAAAGAGGTTGTCACAAAGACATCAGCTGATCGGCACATAGGCCCAAAAAAAGAGCTCTTAAAGGTGGGGTAGGTAAGTTTGAGAAACCGGCTCGAGGTGCACTTTTTGTTATATTCCATGGAATGCTCTTAACATCCCGATAGCAATGAATATCTTAAGTGCTTTGACAAGAAATCCATTAAAAAATGTCATCTGTGGAAGCCGTAATACTGTAAAAAGCACGACCAATCATTTTAGCCGGCCCGGCTAAAATAACTGGATGGCCTACCTGCCTGTCAGCCTTCCATCTGTGCACAAACTTATCTCGTGCCCTCATTGGTCATGTGCGCGTTCGTGTGTGTTGGAGGAGGGGCTCTGTAAGGAAGTGGCAGATTTTTTCCGGTTGTGTATTTTCAAATTCAAGCGCACTCAAGCTGGTTTCTCCAAAATTACCTACCACACCTTTAAACAAATCAGCCATTTGAAAGTTGGACTTCAAACCTACCTGTTGAGTTTGAAGTCTGGAGAGAAGATGAGTTTTCCAGGATGATCCACAGACCTCCACATCAGGCCCAACATCAGGATCTCCAGCCAGCAGCACTTCAGCAGGTGGATCTGGTCCGCTAGACTCAGCTCCATAAAGCCTGAGGAAACGGAATAAAGAGAAACACAGAATTAGCACACACCTCAAATGAATATCCTGATTCAGAATATAAGGGGACAAAAAAGGACTCATCATGGATCGCAATGAGAAAACTTACAATCAGCAAGGAGTTCCCATTCTAAGTATTGTCGTAAAAAACCCTTTCAGATTTAGAGACTTGAAAAAGTTCTGTAGCTCAGTATGTCATGATAGAGAAGGGAAAAATGGAGAATTATAAAAAAAAAAAAAAGATATTTAATATATTGTTGGCAAGCTAAAAAGCCACATGTGAATATAAAACAATATTGGGAGTTAACCAAAGGTACTTTTGCCTTTTTTTTATGAAATTACTTGTTGAAACTACATCAACTAAATGAGGTTTTCAAAGGAGCCTATCAACCAACCTTCTAAGAGTTATATAAAGACAGAGAAACGCCCTTGTGCCATAGAGCACTACAGGATCTAACAATGACCTCACTGAGCAGCAGCTATGTATTTAGCTTCACAGCGCCTCGCTCACCTATCTGTACTTTCTTAAGATCTTTCATAAAGCAGACAATGCACACTCATTTCCACCTCTGCTGGAAAAGAAATGGTGGAATATGGTCGTTATTCAAAAAACGTGGAGTCTTTGTCAACCCTTCACATTAACACCTCTGCTGGGGAGTTACCTGCTGGGCTGAACACTGGCTAAGAGAGGAAAGGCGAGGAGAGGGACACATAAAAAGGGACAGGAAAGTGGATAAAGATAATCAGGACCAGTTGAGAAATAAATAAATTCATAGAAGACAGAAAATTATACAGAGAGGTTGATAATGATTTCCTACCGTTGGTCTCTGTTTATCCATGCAATAATTATGTCACCATCCCACGCAGCATGTGACACACCAACATGAATGATGAGTGGAAGATGTGTTTACTGTAGCCGCAGCTTTGTTTTGACCTTTATAACCCTCAGTCTGGTTTGCTGGTTTTCACCTGACTTCCACACGTTGTTAATCAGAGCCAAACTGCTTCCACTGATCCTAGAGTTTATCCTGACCCTAACCCAACATGGCTCTTTCACTCAGAAAGGCCACACCGAATGCCTCCAGTCTTATTTGATGACATGTAAACTGGTATGTGATTAAGTGGATGTTCCTCAAGTATAAAAATAGACTGAATTAAAGGTGGGGTAGGTACGTTTGAGAAACCGGCTCGAGATACAGTTTTTGTTATATTCCATGGAATGCTCTTAACATCCCGATAGCAATGAATATCTTAAGTGCTTTGACAAAAAATCCATAAAAAAATGTAATCTGTGGAAGCCGTAGTACTGTAAAAAGCACGACCAATCATCTGAGCCGGCTCGGCTAAAATAACTGGATGGCCTACCTGCCTGTCAGCCTTCCATCTGTGCACAAACTTATCTCGTGCCCTCATTGGTCATGTGCGCGTTCGTGTGTGTTGGAGGAGGGGCTCTATAAGGAAGGGGCAGATTTTCTCCGGTTGTGTATTTTCAAATTCTAGCGATCTCGAGCCGGTTTCTCAAACTTACCTACCCTACCTTTAAGATCATGACAAAGATAATATATGCACAATGCAATGAAAACATTTACATCCAAAAGAAACAACAATGAGCAGGAAATATGGAGTTTTCAAAAGAATGAAGTAGATTTTCCATGTTCCAGTGTTTTCATTATGGATACAAATAAGGGCAAAGGTCAAATAGAAACTATATAATTATCAACAGCTAAAAAATCCAAACTGAATTAATATCATGCGGTAGATTTTATAAAACACGTAAGATGTGATTTTAGCATTGTTTTAAGTTTTTAGCTTGTTTTATAACATATCAAAAATATAAATAAAAATTGTTTGTTTATTTAAATAGCTTTATTGTTGCTCCTATTTTACATAGCCTAATTCCTCTTACTGTATTTATGTATGAACCATTATAAATAAATAATAAACCACAATCTACATCTAATTCTGATATGTTTCAAGTATTTAGTACATTTAATCTTAACAAATAGGTACAATTCTATTGAACAAACAATGTTGGTAGTTTTTAAGAAAAAAAAGATATTTATAAATTAAATTAAATAGGATTTCAATTGTGAAAATGTTTAATTTTAAAATGATTTGCGCTACTGTTTGTATCTTACCAGGGATCTTTTTGGCCCAGCAGATCATGAGGACCAGTTCCTTGTCTGCCAGGTTGGTGAGGGACATCATCATGCTGGCCTCGGTGAAGGGCTTCTTCATGTCCTCCATGAGGTAGATCTCTGGCGGCTCCGCCTCCATGATGCGGGAGATGAACTCCTCTGGGCCCATGGCCGAGTGGTGAGCATGGCACATCTGAGGGAGGGGGTCCACAGGGACGATAGGAACCTCCAGGTGGAGATGCCTTTGGGCACGGGAAGCCAGCCCCACCCTGACCAAACCCCTACCCGCGGGGTCCCGAGGCTGGAGCCCCCCACGGCGGAGCCGGGCTCCTCTGTAGCTGCAGCGCTCACGCCTTACACCTGGAGCAAGAGACAGAGAGAGTCACATGACCATACTTTGTACCCTTTGGACTTTATTTACATTGTTCTTGTTTAGTGCCTAAAGGGCAATTATGCAGATTTTCAGGTTCATATTTATATTGTACAACAATATCTGTTTTTTTTATTTTATTGCTGCCGATTTTTATTCCATATTTTATTCCTTCTTATTCCATTTCATTGCAATGTAAATACTGTTATATTTTACTATGTTTTTTATTATTTTAAATATTTTTCTAGTTCTCTACCTGTGTTTTTCATTCTTGTTTTACTTTTATGTATGCACCACGACACCAAGTCAAATTCCTCGTACGTGTAAACCTACCTGGTAATAAACCTGATTGTGATTCTGATTCTGATTCGATAGTGTGCCTCTATGTGACATGTTTCCATGCTGTAATGTTCAAAAAGATCAAAATGCACACTGTCTAAGTCACTGTTGATGAAATATAGCATGTCTGAAAAATACATCTCTGATATAACATTGAACAAAATGATTGCCAGTGGCGTACTGAGAATTTGGCTCTAAATTATCAAAGATATTCTGAAAAAATCTTCCACTGCACTATTAGCTCCAAGGCCCTCTGAGCTCAGAATCTTAGCTCATATTGCTGGTGGAGGATTGTAGTTGAAGTGCCCAATAAACACATAGTTACTCATCTGTTTTGACCCTCCTCTTATGTGCAGGTGCAAGAAACATGAGAAATGGTTAGAATGAGGAATAATACTGTGAAGGTTCCCACACTACAGAGGGTAAAGAGGCAGATTCGTAGTGCTTAGATTGTAACAATGTAGCAGATGCATGTGTGAGAAGGACTAGACTGAGAGTGTTTCTGTGTGTCTCAGTATGCGGGGCAAACACTGGATGAAGGCCACAAATGGGCCCCATACATTTAACATGTGGATTTCTGTTTCTTGTACATGATCATTACCCAAAATAAGCAAAGGCTAAGATTGAAAAAATATTCTTGTATCATTTTCTTTTAGTAAAAATGTAACAGTGGGCAATTTGACCCAAACCCCACACAAGGGATAAGTTCTTCCACTTTCTTTTGCTATATCAAGGACCCCGGTAAAAGAGTTGAGAACCTACCGCACTTCATCATGCCCACTTCGTAGCATTTCCGTAGGCGGCAGGCCTGGCAGCTTTTACGTCTGTTCTTGTCGATAGTGCATTGATTTGTGGCGGGGCAGATGTAGTCATTGTGTCCTAAGGATGAAAGGAAAGAAGACACTTCAATGGATGAGGAACATGAAGAGATGGTGACTTGTTATTGACTGAAAGACAGAGTTTATACCTTGGATACTCCTCTTAAAAAAGGCCTTGCAGCCCTCGCAGGACCACACTCCATAGTGGTACCCGGAGGCGTAGTCGTGGCACACGGCGCAGAAGTGCATGTCCGCCTTCCCGACCGCAGACGAACACAAAGAGGAGTCCATGCCTTCCACTCCCTTCCCCAGTGGCTTGTTACAGCTGATGATGGAGCTGCAGGAAGAAACAGAGACATTGTGAAAAGGGACAACTTGACATCTGGAAGTTTAGCCTGTCATGTACCTGTCATTAGTCATCTAACAGGTACTCTTTTGCTAAAAAATTCTCCACAACCACATTTCAGCCAACTGGAAAATTGCATGAAGAAACTAGAGTGTTCATCATTGAAACATAATGGGTATAAAAGTCTCAAGCATCCAAGGCCAGTTTCACTATGACTGTCAACTGGTAGTAGGGCTGTGCAATTCATCGTATTTTAATCGCAATTACGATTTTGGCCTGCCACAATTACGAAAACAACATAATCGAAAAAAACTATTATTTTGCTTTGCTAGGTTGTGACATATTTGATCTAATTTATTTTAGTCTAATTTATTTTTATTTATCATATTTATATATGTTTAGTAGCTTGTTGAAGTGCGCTCCAAAATATTTGTTGATCTTGTTTATTGGTATTTATTATTTTGATATCATTTATTTTTGTATTGGTTTTTCAGTTGAATTATACGTTCAGGGTAATCAACAGTTAAAAAGACACTGTTCAAATTATTATTTGTATTTGTTTTAAAGTTCAATAAATGGATGTTTTCAAAGTCAATGAATAATCGTATTTAATAATCGTGATATCAATTATTGACCAAAATAAACGTGATTAAGATGTTTGCCATAATCGCACAGCCCTAACTGATAGTATAGAGAATGACCCCGAATATGAAGTAGGGGCAGGGATGTAAATCAAATGTTGTGGTGAGAGTAAATCCATCCAATAGAATCAGTGTTTCAATGTCAGTCTATTGGTTATTATAATAGTTGCAACTCCATCTCAACACTAATGATTTGACTGGATTCTTTGCACAGGCTCTGCTATTATCCAACGATCATCTTAGCTGAAGAATACTAAAACCAACGTAACTATTTTGTCTCTTTATGTTGTCATTGCAGTCAAAGCTGCTTCGCCCATTCATCACTCCAACACCAATCCATCACCAATGTCAAGGGCTTACCTACAGTAGCCTTGGGGAAACTGTAGATGGCTGCTGTTAAAAGGGCTCTATACCTACTGTACACATGTATCTAACTGATAGGGTAAAAAAGAAAATCTTTATGTTAAAAAACCTACATTAAACCTTTCTTGTCCCTCCTAAATTAAATGCAATCTAGTACGTTTTTCCCCTAAACTTTTTATATAATAGCACAGAACTGTACGTGTTTGAGTTGTTTTCATCAAATTTGGGGTATAGAAGAAAGGCATTATCACTGAATTCCTAATGAGCCAACAGGCATTTGTAAAAATTGTGGAAACACTATGACCGATTTCAATTCCATTTTTTTTTAAAGGACTGAAAAGGATGCATTTCTCTTATTTATTTGTTTTTATTAATTTACACAAAAACACATTTCTATTGAGCTTGGGTATTTTTTAACAATCCGGTAGCAGACGATGTCTATTTACTGAAGTTGCTAATTGAGCTGTAATTGTCCGGAACATGGAAAGGGAAGTCTTGGCCAAAATACTGTCTAAACAAAGAACCCAGAAAATACTGAATCCATTCATCTTTGACCACTTTTCCCTTAAAACTCTATCATCAGTCGCGAAAAAAGCCTCCTATCGTTTTCATACAGCTTAATTGGCACTCACCAAACAGCCTTTTGTCCTAAGTATTATCACTATACACGTCTATCAATGGATCAATGTCAATAAACATACCTGCTAGCGTTGATGCTGTGGGTTTTGTGCTCCAGCCAGGGAGCATGCAGGCTGTGATCATTGTAGACTAGAGGCTGAGGGCAGCGCAGAGTCAGTGAGGGCATGTTGGGGTGGTTGTTGGAGGGCCAGAAGGCTGATGGGCTAAGCGCGGTGCACAGAGGGGACGGGCTGTCAGTGATGGGCGGCTTGGCATAGCCGAGTACAGACGGGCTGTAGAAGGTTAGAGGTCCATTGCCGTACTCGTGGCTGCTATCCGTGTAGGGAGACTGGATGCAGACGGTGTGGCTGTCCATGCCCAGAGGAGGGCTGTACGAGGCGGATATGATTCCCGGGGAGCTTGGCCTCTCTGAGGATTTGCTAGAGTCCTCCTGTAGCTGAAGCAGTGTTAACGGGGGGTCAGCATCCAGCCTGGGGGAGGAGTCCATGTCAGGGTGAATTTTAGTAGTTTCACAGTGTTTATGAATAAGATAATATAGCTGGTTCCTCTACTGCATGTTCCAGTAAAGACAAGTCCTGGGACAAAGGGGGAGAAAAACTGTGTTATGGTTAAAAAATGCATGTCTGAGCTGCACTTTTAGTTAGTGCTTATGAGGAAATGCTAACACACTAAGCTAAGGCAGTGGACATAACATGTCAGGTAACATCAGAATGTTATCGTTGTCAATATCATCATGTTAGCATGCTTACACACCAAGCTATGGTGGTGAACGTAGTAAACATACCGTAACATCAGAATGTTACTATTGTCCTCATGTTAGTGCTCAAACACACTAAGCTAAGATGGTAAACATTAAATACCTGGTAAACATTCAAATGTTAGCATTGTTATTGTGAGCATGTTAGCATGATGACGTTAGCATATGTTCTAAGCATGGCTGTAGATTCTTAAGGTGCTTTGTTTGTTTCTTCTCTGAGTTAGTAAAACAAACATGTATATTAATTACGTCATATTGCTAACCATTTCCTCTATTTTAAGCTAAAACCGCTTTCTGTCTAAAAGCACCTTTAGGCCTAGAAATAAAAGGAAGGGGACATGGTAGCACAAGAAAGTTTTTTAATGCTTTTAAGCAATAAGAAGAAGCAAATTGTTGTATATTTGTAATATTTACATCTGTAAACATTGTGGATAAACCTTCTGTTGCTCAGCTTGAAAAGCTTCATACCTTACAGACACAATAAAAGTAGCACCTTTGCAATCTCAAAAGAAGAATTGAGGGAGAACAGTACACACTTATTAAAGTGGAGGCAGACACTGTTAACAAAACACTTACTGAGACATTTAATGAAGAAGATGAACAAACGATTTTGTCGAAATAAATGCAACCTTTCTTGAAAATGGAAAGAAAAACAGACACAAAAGGACAGGTTTTCTATGGTTATTTTGTCTGCTTGATGTTCTCTACCATTATTGAGCTGTTGTGACCCAGTTCAGGACAGTCATGGGGAGTTTACAGGGGTTGCTTTCATTTGAGGAAAAGTAGTGATGTTATTGCACTTCATTGCAGTGAGTATCTGTATCACAGGTGGTCATTTGATTGTGTCCAATGTATATTGACGGGTTTTCCCAAAAGCATTGGACTAATTGTGTTTAACTCTTGTTCTTGATGTTACGGTTATACTTATGGTTGTATTCATGAATTTTGAAATAATAACTTTTTATTTAAATTGAGTTGAGTGAATTTTTTAAATAAGTGAGACAGCTTAATACAAAATACACTTTTAACACAACCATTACATTTGAACAAGATAGTATTAAAGGTCCCATGTCATGGCCATTTCTACTGATCATAATTCCATTGTTGAGGTATACTAAAATAGATTTATATTGTGTAATTTTCCAAACTCATATTGGTTTCTCATACAGCATCTCTGTATAGTATGTGTATTCACTCTCTGTCCTAAACGGCTTGTTGGAGCTCCTGCCCCCCCCCCCCCCCCCCTCCCTATGAGCCGAGTGGCCGGTGTGGGGTCGGCGAGACAGCGAGACACAGCGAAACCCAGCCCGAAACACACACACACCCGCAGCCTGGCTGGGAGTTTGTGTGTGTGCTCAGGCTGAGTTCCGCGGTGTCTCGCTGTCTCGCCGACCCCACACCAGTGAGCCAGCGCACAGTGTCCCGCTCCTCGCAGCAGCAAGCCTTGCAACGTCCTGCCGAGTGTGTGTGTGTGTGTGTGTGTGTGTGTGTGTGTGTGTGTGTGTGTGTGTGTGTGTGTGTGTGTGTGTGTGTGTGTGTGTGTGTGTGTGTGTGTGTGTGTGTGTGTGTGTGTGTGTGTGTGTGTGTGTGTGTGTGTGTGAGGAAGTCCGCGGATTGGTCCAAACGTAACGGCTCCGCGGACGTCACGTCACTATACCCAAATACGTCACTATACCCAAGAAGTAAACAATGGAAAAAGAGAAATCTCCAACGAGGCGTTCTGGGGCAGCATAGACAGATCTTTTCTGTGTTAGAGTTTTACTCGCTACAGGGTGTACTTTGAGGGTTTGTGACTCTGCAGACCGTTTACATGCATAAAAAGCTACATAACACACAAGGGGACGGGTAATAACCAGAAAAGCATGACATGGGACCTTTAAGCTGTGTTCTGAAAGATGATACAAATGAAATTACAGAAATACTGTACGTTTCATATGACTCAGTGGCTCTGGTTGGCTCTGTATGGATATATTATGTCATTGCTATAAGAATGGTTTAACACACACAGGCATACACACACCCACAACCACTTGTACTTTTGAAACATTGCAGCGATGTCAAGTTCATTGCGTATCTTTAAGGTTTTATTGCGTCAGAGACACAGGACATGTACCTATCAATATTGTTACTCAAGAAAGCACACAACACAAGATAATGGTATGTTTTCTTTACCGAGTGCATCACAACCAGAGGTTTAATGAGATCCTGCTAGCGCACAAGGGGACAAGGCCTTAAGACACACATTGTTATCCCATTTCAATTGGGGGGACTACTCTAAAACTCTTTCTATGAACCTAAATACATAAAAACCAAAGTAACTGGGGGCTACATTTGATTACTGGTTTTTAGCTCCTGTTAAAAGCACTGCACGTTGAGACTGTATGATATGATATGAATACTTTGCAGTACTAGGTAATATAAAAGATCCTATAGACAAGTGTAGTCCAAGAAGTCTGAAATGTTCTCACAGAAGTTGATACAAACAGGTATGTTATTGATGCACTTAAAAGGTAAAATTAAGCAACAGCTTCTTTACTATGTCAACGGTGAAAGGAAAGGCTCTCTATGTATTAACAGTGTATTTAAACTATGAACATTTGTTCTAAGGATATAAAAGCACGGCATTATCTGTGTATGTGATATCACACAGTAACCGAACTGTGCCAGAGAAGCCATCAGCTGGTTAATCAATGTGAAAATCAACAGTACAGCAGACACTATCTGCACAATGAACCTCAGACTGCAGCAATCACAAGTCCAAACGCACAATTCCTGCAAGGCTTGGGGTTAAATGGTTTTTGGGGGATTTTCTGCCTCTACTTTGGAGTTAGCAGTCGAAAACAAACTGTTAAAACGTCCTGCCTTCCTGAAATCCAAGTTGCCAATAACACCTGGCAGAGTATTGGGCAATCATGAGGGCATTGTCAAGCAGGAAATGGACTTACAAAATCCATCATTAATAGCACAGATTTGACGATAGGTTAGAGTTTATTGTCATGTATTCTCAAGTATTGATTGCTAATTGTGATGATGATTTTTAAAGACTGGATTTAGAAGTAAAGCTCAGATTGTGTTATTCTAAATCTTCCAAAAACTGCATAGTGGACAGGACACACCATGCCAAATAGTCGCAAGGTCAATCGCAGCAACCGTCAACATGTGAATCACACATGTCAGGTCGAAGTGGCCTTTAGCAAAACAATGCACTCTTACCTGTTCATGGTACAAGCACATTGACAGTATGCCATGAATTATACCGAAAAAGGTGTCTCATAATAAAATGCTACTCCAAATCTCTCAGAAAATACCGCCTAACAGCTTCCTTTTTCCTCAATTTGGAGGACACAAGCTTCTTTAAATGTGTCCCACGAGTGATCTTTTGTCCGTCACATGGCCACATTTTGCACATAATCAGTCCAAACATGATTTTAACAACAGGGAGTTACAGATACATGTATATAGATACCTGCCATTAACTATTTTGTGTCAGTTGTCCATCATGTGTTGATGTTAAACATGACAGCTGGTACTGTAAACTCAGGTTTAATGGAACTCGTCCAAGTTTCTATTTTTAGGGGGAACTGCCTAGTGACTTGGAAACTTTGACACTTTCAAGCAATTAAATGCACCATTATTTTGTTCTCTTTGAGGCTGGTGTGGCTCAAGTTAAGGGTTCTAGTTCATCCCCTGAATTTAGATACAGAAAGGGGTTTAACGCTTCTCCAAATCTAGGGACATGCACTGAGAATCGAATAAGACGAACCACCTACAGTCCAAATTACCACAAACTATGGCAAGTATGTAGACAGTGTGACTGAATGATAAGCACAAAAATCAAGAACTATTAAACCAGAAATACTAATATTTTGTCCACATTTGGTCCATCGAGGAGTAATAAGCCTTGGGTCAACATTTTAAACCTTGAATGAGGAACCGACATAAAATAATTTCTGGATACGGGTTTAAAATATGAATAAATATTTGTTTTAACGATTTTTTCGGGCAACCAGTGTCAGGGGAAAGGGGAAGATATAACCGGGGATCAAGATAAAACTATTTTTTTTTATAGTTTTCCAGTTTGGATTTGCTGCTTTAAAATTATTTGACATTATAGGGCCACTTACTGGCCTCAATCATACAGGAACATTTGGTGTCTTCTTGCATTCATTATTCTGGCGTACCATTGGTTGTGAGTGACCGTGAATAATACTGTCACTATAATCGACTGATACCCTAAAATAAAATGTTATTGCGGCCATGAAAATCAAGAGCTAAACCAACATACGTAGATAAAGATTTATAAAACAAACAACTATGCAGACAGAGGTTTGGATTCTGTATCTCATGAAGTTCTACTATTGAGTATAACCATGAAATGCACAATAAATACATATAATTAAAGTAAAACTAATTGCCCACATTCTGGTTGACATTGGACAAGTTATTATCTTCTCAGACTTGCCAGAATTAAACTCTCTGACCGTAGATTTACTAAAAATAAATCCACAGTCTGACATTAATACAATGATTTGAGAGTGTGAGGTTAAAGTTCATAGGCTAAAACACTGAATAAGAAGACATCAAAAAGGTTTGAAGACTCACTTTTTTACTGCAATATTCGTGGCTCAACAGTTCGACTTTTACCCATCGACTATGTGAAAATGTGTTTTGTCAGAACGTCTAGCCAAGGTTTGAGCTTTGGACACACTGGTGTTCATGGCAGCTTTCCA